AAATCTGGTTCGGTTCAGGGTTTCAAGTAAACCTACAACACATGTACCTCAGGTCTCACCCTGGCAGCTGAGACAAGCCACCCTAACCAACTTGGCGGCACATCAGTGTCAGCCTTGGCAGGATAAATCTCCTCAGACTTATCTAACGGATGTGAACATTCTAAACTAACATGAGTCTCATATGTATCCAATTTATGGGTATTACACAGAAACACACCACAAGAACATGAATCAAATATGTACTTTATTCATTTAGAGTAAATGTCATAATGTACATCATTTTGATTGGAGCTAAGGGCATAACTGTCTAACAGGCCTCTATCAGATAAGGTTCATTGCCATTTTTGGTTAAACCTTTCTGTTCAGTAAGTGCTTACCCATCATATTCGTGAATGCCAAGTTACCCTGAGAGAGTCTTCCATTTTAGGATAGGCCCCTCCCACATCGGTCTATGATGCCCTTATCATCTTTTGATGCAATCCAACAGAGCCATCAGCAAATGAATAACCCAATTTTATGGTGCATCTCATCATTACTAAATGACTCATCTTCATGCTAATGATGGAAAGCCTTTAGAGAGTTCATCATTTGAATCTCCCTATCACATGCACTTATATTTTACTAGAGGGAACTAAAAATTATGTCCTAATTTTATTTAGATCAAACCAAAGTAGTTCCCATTGACTTTCTTAAAGTCAAATTCAGGTGGGCCCTAAACAGCTAGGGTTCCGAAACAGTTCCTCTTGGGGAGGAAGTTGAACTGGGTACATCAAGAAGGGAGATCATCCAATGATCTTAATGACACCATGGCAATGATGTGCATTCAGCCATGGTGTGCGAAAGAGCTACTATCAAAATAACATGGGCCAAGTGCTTATGGCCCATGTACATAGCACATCACACAACATATATCATTTGCATGGAATAAAACCATAGTTGATCCAATCAATTTTAGTCATCTATAAATCCCTAAAGTAGTTTGGTTAAATTAGTATCAGCCCATTAGAGCCCATAACATTATCATATAACATTAACTAGGTAGATGGGTTGAACTGCAAAAAGTAGTTCGACCCATATAGCTGAATCAGGGTTGATGCAGTTTTAACTTAACAATACTGGGTTTTACAAGTTGGGCCGAATTGCATCTTGCAATAAGCCATCAAACCCTTGGCCCATATGACAAATTTTAGGGTTGTGAACAGTCCCTAATGGTCCACAGTTTCAGCCAAACCAGTTTGGTCCAATCTAGGTCGAATGGGTCTAGGGCTTGGTGTCTAATTCAAGATTCAATTCAACAAGATCATAATCAGTGAACAACAACAAGAGGGCTGTTCATAAATCTGCAACCCTACAAAACAAAAGTTAGTTTGCAGATTATATTTTCCCAAACTACAAATCGTAGATTGCCAAACCCAAATCTACAAAATTTCTCCTTTGTGTGGTTCCAACAATTCTTCCAATGATAAAAAAGGAAAACCTAATCTTCTATTAATTACATCAGAATCAAATCCTATACATTCCATCTACAAAGTAAAAAAAGAAATTATTTACAGACCAAGAATGAATAGAATAATACAGCAAGTGGGCAGATTCATTACGCCAAAAAGAATTCGATCTCCACCAAATGAACAACCCAAATTCAAGAAATATAAATGGAACAATTCTAAATATATTGCAGATAATGAAAGATTTAATTTCAGATCATTTGCCCATAACTGAGAACCGAATTTTCAAAGGAAACCCTAATCTGCACAAATTAGGTAGAACCGATTCTGCCTATTTGCGTAGGTTCAAATCAGGTCTGATTTTGGTTCAAGAATGTGAATCTGGCTCTAATACAATTGAAGGGATGAGAGATCCATCATATGGATGGCCAAACCCTACATGAAGGTTGGGTGAAATTTCAAATATTTCTCTCTCCCATGGAATCACATTCCCTATTTTAGAAAACTACATTTTCAAGGATCGTTCTTGAATCAAAATCTGACCATATCTGAAACCAAAGTGGAGGAGAGAGATATACCTGATACAAAGTAATAGTAACTCCTAGTGAAGGTGTTCACGCCCAAGGAGAAGACAAAAAACCCGCCTCTAGTGAAAATGACACAGTATGTGGTGAAGCACGATCAATAGGATGGCTCTTCAGCAAGAACCGAAATTCTTCAACAAGAATTGAACAAGGGCTAGTGAGCACGACTTCAAATTGTTTCTTCAATCGGGAAACAATATCAAGAACCTTTATTGATCAGTTCCACAAGTGGAGATCGAACTGGGTAGGGGTGGCAAGAATAGGGGAGAATTCTGTAGATTGTGTGTTAAACTGAGGAATTTGCCACTTATTTGTAGCCTTCTTTGCATCAGCCTCCTAATCCAATTAGGAGAGAGTTTCTTAATCCAAGTCTGATATTTGGATCTGGACTCTTAAATGGATAAGACTTATCTTATACTTTCAGCTAATCCTAATTAAGTTATAAATCAGATTTTGCCCATTTCTAATTAACTAACTTAAGCCTAGTTCGAAGTGGTTTTTAGGCCCATTAAGTCACATAGCTCACTTACCATTTAATCTGCTGGCTAACTTTGCTCTCTTTGTATGCTATGGGACCTTAACATCAATCTACACAGCAGCCACGTGGGTTCAGCCTAGTTGATAACTCTGTAGGTTGAGAAGGGATCAGTTCTTTTGGGCAGTGCTGTAATTTTCCTTGTTTAGACATTGCTTTTTTCCCTCTCTCTTAACCCATCTTACTGTATTCCTACTAATTGGAGTTTACCTTGTTATTGAACTAGAGTCTTTTTTGCATAAGCTGACAATAATTAGATCATGAATTTGACTCATCTCATTTTAGGYATACMCATCCAATGATTTGCAAATTGGTTTTATGACAGGCATTGTTTTAGCAGTTTATTAATTCCAAGATTATGGCCTTTAATGTCACAGGAATTGGGATAAAATAGTTTGATGATGCACTAACAAAATATTTTAGTCATTTGGTAATTAGCTTTGCTAATTATCT